TATTTTTTGACAGAGAGAGAGACAGTGAGAGAGGGAACACAAGCAGGGGGAGTGGGAGAGGGAGAAGCAGGCTTCCTGCAGAGCAGGGAGCCCGACGTGGGGCTCGACCCCAGGACCCTGGGATCATGACCTGAGCCGAAGGCAGACGCTTAACAACTGAGCCACCCAGGCGCTCCTAGAATTCTCATTTTAAATTTTATAGAGCTATTATTCATATGTCAGTGATAAGAAACTTACATATAAAATTATGTTTTAATCCTAAGATGCATTATAGTGAGGCTTTTAGGTTTAGTTCAGTCTCCTCTTTCTATGAAACGCAGACTCAGAGAAAACACAGACTCTATCAAATGCCAGTTCTCAAGTCTTAGGATTTTGACTCCACTACTCTTTTCATAAAAATATACAATCTTTATATGATTTATAGGCCTTACAGGCATCTTATTCTGCTAGGTAAGGAATGAGTGTGTCCTATAACTGCTGACTCCGTAACCATACCTCTGGAGTCTGGCCTTCCCATCTGCAAAAGCCAGAACCTGGGCTCTACTGTTTTAATAAATATGTTTTTAAATTACTATAAAAGTAACATGTAATTATTGTAGAAAATTTAACAGAAGGAGAAGCAGGAGGAGGAGTGGGAGGAGTTGGAAGAAGGGGAAAGGAAGGAAGAAAGGAGAAAAAAAAGAAAAATCATTTACAACCTCACCACTCTGAGGTAAGGAAGGTACACATTTTAGAGCTTATCATCATGGATGGTTTCTAATATTCTACACACTCTTGTAACTTGCCCTTTTCTACTTAACATCTTTCCGTGGGAAGCAGTGTAGCTAGAAAGAGAAGGTAGCAGAAACTTGTAGCTAGTGGACAAAGGTGCAAGCTCTGGAACTAGAATTGCCTGGTTCACGTCCTGGATCAGCTCTGTGGCTGTGTGACCTGGAGCAGACGGCTCCGCCTCTCTGTGTCCTCAGTTTCCCATCTATAAAATGGTGATGACAGTAGTAACTATTTCTTCATAGGGTCCATTACGGGGATTCAATGGCTTAATATATCTAAACCACTTATAACAATGCCTAGCACAAAAGTATACTCTGTATCAGGGGACAAGAGTAAAGAACTAGAAAGTAACTATTTTAGCCATTACTGGGCTTATGGTTTCTGGTGGAACTCCTCCACACTACCTTTGTGGGACGAAAGCAGCCATAAAAGAGTGAGTATGGCTGGGTTCCTATTAAACTCAGTGGACACGGAGTTTGAATTTCATATAATTTTCACACGTCATGACATATTCTTCTTCTTTTGATTTTTTTCGACTGATAAAAAATGTAAAAGTCATATTAGCTCTTGGGCTGTACAAAAATGGACAGTGGGCTGAGCCTTTATACCACAGTTTACCAACCTCTGTTCTATATAATAAATTCACATTATTATATTTCTAATATTTCTACAAAACATTTTTGTAAGTAGACTCCAGGCTCAACATGGGGGTTCTAACTCTCAATCCCAAGATTTAGAATGGCAGGCTCTACTGACCGAGCCAGGTAGGAGCCCCTCTACAGCTTTTTTTTTTTTTTTTTTTGGCTGCTTAGAACAAGATTGTTTGGATGTTCTATAGTTTACTTAGTCCCCTATGGTTAGAATTTAGCTTATTTCCACTGTTCTTTATTATAAGCTATTCTCCAATGCATATCCATGCATAATCTTTGTGCACATTTATTATTGTATCTACATCTTAAAATGTATTTAGTGGTAGCTACCAAGTGGCTGGCAGAGCACCTAAAAAGAAACAGACTCTGAAGAAGTAGCCCTGAAAATTAACCTTGTTTAGTTATAACAAATTTCAAACATGTTAGAGAAGGAGCTTATCAGTATAATGTATATTCATATACATAGAACTTACTATGTACCACATCCCATTCTAAGCCTTTTACATATATTAAATCATTTAGTCCTCAAAACACTCCTATGAGACATAAGTGCAATCATGATCATTATCATCATCATCCCCATGGTACAAAAGAGGAAACCGAAGCACAGAAAAGCTAAGTAACTTTCCAAGGTCACACAGATAGCTGGTGGCCGAGACCGGTTTCAAACCCAGCCTGTCCAGCACTAGGCCCCATGTTCTTGAACACTGTGTGGCCCTGCCCCTTCCCTGGAGGGATTTGGCGAGTACCTACCTGATAAATGTACCTGTTGTCTTTTTCATGTTTAGATCATGTTTGGCACGCACAATCGACCTCATACTCTAATATTCGGCACAAATTGTATCCCACAATGGGACATTTCGAGTGGAAACTGAATGTCCATCTAACCTCCTTCCTCTTTTGTCCTCCAACCCTTCCCCCCATGCCAACTTTTCATTAATTTGCCCTGCATTTCTTACCCAAAATAGGTGTCCTCAATGAATAGTAAAGATTGATTGGAGCATACTTTCATATCTTGTTTTCCAACTTATGGTCCCAAATCTACCAAATTCACTTGGCAATTTCTGGTGGAGCTTCGCTTTAAGTGGAGGGCCCTGAACCGCCACGGGAATGCACATTTCGGATAAGTACCCTCCTTCTTTGAAAACAAACAGTGGCTTGTGTCAAAAGTCTCTCCCGCGTGGCCCCCGCAGCAACAGGGCTGGCTTGGGTGGCTTGTTCCGACCCCTAGCCGGGTTCCCGAGGACGGTGTCCTGCGTCAGTGTGAGCCAACCCGCCAGCCTCTGCCGCAAGGCTCGGAAGCTGAGTTGCGCGCTCTCCTGGCCCTTCCTGCTGGTGCTGAGATGCGAGCGAGTGTCCCAGAAAGGAGTTATGCAAGTGGGTCGTTCGACTTTGAGGGGAATGAAATTCTAGTTCTCATTTTTATCCTGCTTTATCTCCCTGCTGGGATCCTACTGCTGGAGTTATCCCCACGGAGATGAGCCACCAACGCCACTGGTCCTAAGATGTTGCCCGCCCCCCCCCTCCACGCCCCCACGGATGCCCAAACAAGGACAGAATCGCGAAGTAGAGAGAAAACAGGGAAAGAAAAAAGCGGGTGTTTCAAACTGATCACGGTGGTGCAGACGCGGCGGGGGAGCTGCAGCAGCCGGGCGGGGAGTCGG